TGTCACGGGCATGAATAGCCCGTAATCCTTACTCTGATTTTTTCTAAACCTTTAAAGCAGTGCAGTTTTTCATCGCGCTAGGCTGAGGTAGGGGAGAACAGGCCACCTAGCGGAGGGTAGAAAGTGACTGGTTATCTTTCTTCTCTTGAGGTTATCTTGATAATTTCGAGGCTTAGCGTCCCTGCGGCCCGGGGACGATAGTGAAGTCCCGAAGAGAAGTTTGTACTCTCAGCTGTGCAGAAATCTCTCAAAAATATCAGAGAAACCTATAGTAACTATATTCGCGTGTCTACTGGAAAACTGAAGTTTAAAGGATTGGGATAACTGTTGCTTTGTCTTTCATTTATCTCTCTCTCTCTCTTCAACAACAGCGCCTGTTACCAAATATCAACCTCTCTTCCAATGTCAATCAACCACCTCCCCCCCCACCCACCGTGTAAGAACCTCTCTCTCTCAGCTTTAGCACTTCCTCCCCTCCTCCCACCTTTAGCACCTCCCCCTCTCCCAATGTCAGCACCTCCGCCGCTCCCTGAGACTCAGGGCAGGAATCACGGTCTGGGGGCTTCAGACAAATGATAACAAGCCGCCATTCACAGCAACGCGAATATAAGTGAGATCAAAAATAGAACGAGCACATGCTCACGTGTACAACGTAAACAAACTACTCTAGTCAAACAAACAACGAAAATCCATAAACTAAAACGAAAATCATGCTTTGTAGCCGTTAACGAGACGCAAACTTCGCTGGCAGACACGACACACTTCAACACTACTCATGAACATGAGAGAGAGGGGACGTACTCACGCTTGCACTCCTCAACGAAGGATTGAGATTGTGAAAGACATTTGTGCCCGTCGCCTCATTACGTATACACGGGAAGCCCTTGAGTATGCATCAGCGGCAGTTGAGGTGTGCTCCAGGGACGAGAGCTGGACACACCTGAATGCATTAATAGTAAAACTTCTCCTGGAACCTTTTTTGGAAAGTCAATTCTCGCGGATTAGGATTCCCTTAAAGTTGGGTTCTCTCCATAACATTTGCAAAGACCAACAAAAGATAATTATAATGCGGATATTTGTACGGCTTTACGCGTAATGACAAAACATTAGGCTTCAAGCCAGGTACATAATTAACAAGCAAGTAGACTGCAGCTTGTTTCAGAACCGGATCTGAAAGAAAAGCGCCATTTTAAATCATTCCTCTGACGCCGTAACGAGGCCATTAACACGGTATAAACACAATAATCATCTAACATTTGAGTGGAGCCGACAATGTCAGATCGACTCCCCCAACATAATAAGTCAAACCGGTGGAAACAGGCAGAGGGCCAGCAGCGTCACGGGGCTTCATCACTAACTGCTGGACACTCTTAGTTCCCCCTGCTGTCCTAGGGACAGTGTGTGTATACTGGTAGTTACTATTTTATGCCTGAAATATGGAGCTGTTAGTACTTGGACCCCGCCTTGCTAACTGTCGGCTGTCTATGGTATGGACTCCATATTTTCTTTATCATATCTATTATATAATTATCTATCCATTTCTAAGTAGGCCTCTCCCGGGGCCTACTGATTATATCAGTAGGCCCCTGGAGGTTAGGTGGGGTGCCTAGGTTCTATTCTAAAGCTCTTAGTCAAAACCGCTGCATTTTTTACGGAATGGTAATGAGAAAACGGGCAAGTTAATAAGCCTCAGTGATGAATCCCGTTTTCTTTTGGTATTAAAGGGGAGACTTGCCTAAAATGCAAGACGTTAACCGGCGAAACGAGATTATATTTAATACTGTTACATAGTTTGTATCAAGAACTAACTTTGTGATACAATAACCCCATCTCGCAGGTTGGTTATCAGTAATCTGCATTATCAGGATATCTTCAAGGACACGAGTGGAAAAAATAATTGCATATGTCCATACCGGCAAGGCTGAAGAGTCTAATGACTAGGCATTAAATAATGAAATGTGCGAGATAATGAATCAGCTACTCTCTCACAGCTTACACAAGGTGCTCAGGATGGAGAAATTCGTCATTTTCAGCCATTTACCACAGATAACTGTAACTCAACCTGATCCTGGCATTACTATGTCACACTGGTGGACGCTTTGCGCTGTCCATATATATATATATATATATATATATATATATATATATATATATATATATATATATATATATATATATATATATATATATGTATATCTGTATCGTATCTAAACAAATAACATATTATACTAATGCTTTCAGGCTTCCGATAATTTGTGGTTTCTCTATCAGACCTGCATGTTTGGAGCTTTTATATTAACGCATTTCGGTGCATCTGCATTTGTGCAGCGAGAAATCTGTCGCGTAACTCTAGGGGTCTTCACTTCCCACCTTCACATTCCTACTAGTATTATTGTTAACCATTCTCTCCACCTCCTCCATTGCTACAACTGTCATCACTTCAATGTCAATGTCATCACTTCATCACTTCCACCCTCCCATCAGCAGAATAACCTCCTCTTCTTCCTATCGCACACACACCAACACTTCTCTTCACTCATTCTCCCCGACAAAAAGTGCCTCTTCCTGCTGTAAGCGTCAGCACCCACTTAAGTCCCCTGCCTTACCCCACAACCATAGGTAGTGGAATCTGATCACTGTCGGTGACAGGAAGGTTGTAGGTTCAAGTCCCCTCTCGTGGCTCCAATTGATTTTCTCAGTTATCTGGTTGATGGGGTTCTGGAAGTTCTGATATTCCCCAAGCCCTCGGGCCAGGCTTGACTTGCGAGAGTTTGGTCCACCAGGCTGTTGCTTGCAGCGGCCCGCAGGGTTGCAGGCCCACATACCCACCACAGCCCGGTTGGTCCGGCACTCCTTGGAGGAAACTGTCTAGTCTTGGAGGAAACTGTCTAGTTTCCTCTTGAAGATGTCCACTATTGGGACATCTTTATTGTTATAGTGTGTGTGTGTGTATGTGTCTGTACTCACCTAGTTATATTCACCTAGCTGTGCTTGCGGGGGTTGAGCTCTGCTCTTTCGGCCCGCCTCTCTCAACTGTCTATCAACTGTTTCTACTACTTCTACTACTACTATATATTCCCACACTTCACACACAGACACACACACACACACACCAGGAAGCAGCCCGTGACAGCTGACTAACTCCCAGGTATCTATTTGCTGCTAGGTAACAGGGGCATAGAGTGAAAGAAACTCTGCCCATCATTTCTCGCCAGCGGCTGGGATCGAACCCGGGACCACAGGATCACGCGTCCAGCGTGCTGTCCGCTCGGCCGGCCGGCTCCCCTGTGTATTCACCTAGTTGTACTCACCTAGTTGTGTTTGCGGGGGTTGAGCTCTGGCTCTTTGGTCCCGCCTCTCAACCGTCAATCAACAGGTGTACAGATTCCTGTGTGTGTGTGTGTGTGTGTGTGTGTGTGTGTGTGTGTGTGTGTGTGTGTGTGTGTGTGTGTGTGTGAACAATTTGTTGACATACGATTATTACTATTAAACTTATTACTGCATTAAAATATATACTGTAATTATTATTAATAGTTATATTACATAATTTCTTTGACTATTCTCTACTGCAAAATGTATATAAATCTGTCAATAATAAGTGATGAGAGCAAGTCTAACATCTGCAAGAGGTGGAAACTATGATCCCTGGAAACCGCAAACTGGATTGGATGCTGGAAGCTGCAAGCTGTATGATAGAAGCTACAAGCTGGATGCTGGAAGCTGCAAGCTGTATGATAGAAGCTACAAGCTGGAAGTAGGGAGCAGGTTACCGGTCCAGACGTTCAGGGGGGTAAAAACTGGACTTCGGATGCAGCGTTCGGCGCCAGGGGTCGTGTTTGCTGTTCTTCATTCTGTCTACCGGGCTGATTGACTTCATATATGTACTTACCTCTCAGTGATTAAAGGGGGGGGGGGGGTGTGGCGTCTAACTCTTTATACCCCGCCTACTAGTCGTTGTGCGAGTATGTGTGTTTACTATTTGTATTTACTATTTGTGCCTGCAGGACTGAGTTGTTAGCTCTTGGACTCTGCCTTTCTAGCCGTCGGTTGTCTAATGCACCGACTCTCAACCTATTTTTCTCAATCATATCTACTACATATACACAGGATGCAGCCCGTAACAGCTGTTTAACTCCCAGATACCTCTTTATTGCTAGGTGAACAGGGGTATCAGATGAAAGAAACTCTGCTTATTTGTTTCTTCCTCGGCCGGGGTTCCAACCAGGGCCCTTAGGACTACGACCCTCGAGCCCTGTCCGCTTGGCCGCGAGGTCCAGAGAGAGAGAGAGAGAGAGAGAGAGAGAGAGAGAGAGAGAGAGAGAGAGAGAGAGAGAGTTCCTTATCAGGCAGTTTTGGGTAGAAATGTCTATAATATGAAGATAAATCTATTCTTACCAAACAGTTAACAGGACCGAGCCTCAGCCTACTCAGCCAACTGTAGGTCTAATGCACTAAATCAGACATGTTTGTCTCTCATGGTTGTCTCATATGTCATCACCCTCCTAGATCATACCACTAGTCTACTGCTCATATACTGAAGACGTGTTTGAGGCACCCGTGTGCCTGATCTGCATGTCTAGTCACCACGCAAGCACCCCGTTATGCCACCCCTACCAACAGTGTAATATGGTTCCAAAATATCCTGCAACTGGCTTGCAACATACTTCAAGACTGAAGATGACGATGATTCAGCTCATAAATATACAAGGTTAGACATTGTTAGCTTTTTAGACATCCTTGATCGAAAGGTAAACAAAAATAACTGTTTATGAACATAATAGTAAGAGTTCGTATTATGAAAATAGGTAACTGGATTTATACCAAACAACACGTATAGAAACCAATGATGCATGCAATGAATAATTAGGTTTAGGAAAAAAATAATATTCTACAAAATGTATGTGAAAAAATAACATGAAAATAACCGATATCATTAGCGGGCCAGCCAGAAGCTTAGGGCCAGCGCAGGAATATTCATGCAAAGAAAAAACTGACATTACCTGTGGGCGCGAGCTGCTTCGCCAAAGCCTCTCTCAGGAGCTGCATCTTTCCCAGGAGGGTATTGTGCTGAAACTCGACCTCGTGAACGAACTCCGTCAGGTCCCCGTTGGACTCATCAATCGGGGACCCCACGGTCTCTCCCCCGGGCTCTGTATGCTGATTACCTCCATGAGACACGCTTGAAGCCTCTAGTGACCGCGGGACGTCCGCCCCACCGGCCTCCACCAACGTTGTTTGCGGGAGGTCATGTTGTCCGCCTGAGGGTGGTTGCGGTGCCTCAGATGGTCCAGTCTTCACCTCCTGGTGGATGGGTCCACCTGTGCTAGCCTGGACCCTGGGAGATGTTTCCTGGGAACGGACTTGGCGGAACCGCCCCTCGGTCAGAAGGCGTGTTAGGTCTTGCAGATTGGGTCTTCGGCCGCTCATGGCGAGTCCTGCTAAGTCCTCCTTGTTTAAGCACAGTTTCTGCCGTGGTTTGCCAAGTCAGCAGACTAGACGCGGCTGCCTCGCCCTGCTAAGTTCTGCTTCGCAATTCTTTTATCAGCCGAATCTTGTTTGAGGTGACCTGCACTCTACCCGGAAATGGCTACCTGCCTCCCATCCTGTGCCTGTCCTTACACACACTTTATATTAACAACTTCACTCTACATCACTTTATTCGCAATATATCACTATTGTCACTATATGCATCACAGAATTCACAATTTATCACGTATTCATCATGTATCACGGTATTCGCACAATATTACTGAATCTCATATTTTCATTTCCATTGGAAGTTTTCATTCCACTGTTGGAACGGAATGATGAGTTAGGAGGGAGAGATGAAAAGGTTGTGGAGAGGGAGAGAGAGAGAGAGAGAGAGAGAGAGAGAGAGAGAGAGAGAGAGAGAGAGAGAGAGAGAGAGAGAGAGAGAGAGAAGGACTGGAGGGTTCAAGCAAGTGTGAGTATTCGAGGATGAAATAACTATGAGAGGATAAGGATTTACAGACAGGCGTGAGGACGGGAGTTATAGAAGACTGTGAGGATAGTGTATTATGGGCAACTGAGTGTCTTACGGACGGACGTAAATATGGGGCATATACTGTACACTATGACCCCAGAAGGCACATATCTGTGGCATAGTGCCACACAAATCATGCCGTCACGAAATTTAACGATAAAGAAGCAAATGCCAAGCAACATGATCATGCCACACGGATTACGACAGCGTTTGTGCCCGAGTGACCGCACCAGTGTAGCACCTTGTGACACACTAACACCACCAACGAAACACCGCACGACACAGCGACGTGGCAACAACTACCAACGAGGGCCTCCTGATGCTGCGCCAGTACCCTTGTCCGGGGATGTCACACTAACGAGAGCGTCGAGTTACGACGCGAAGTCATGCCAGGGATTATCTGCCCCTCGGCCGTGTCAAGAGCTTGTGCGTAAGATCTTCCTAGGCGCCAAGTTCTCCCGTCAGCAAGCGGCGACACGCTCAACAAGTAGGTGCCAAGTAGTGGCTGGTCCACGTGCTGGCCTACACACACACACACACACACACACACACACACACACACACACACACACACACGTTTATATGTTCTCTCAATTTACTGATTCTGTATTACACCTAAAGTTTTATTTTCAGGGAAGTAGAACTATCTTAACGACCCCTGACTCAAACTTTAACTATGCAATCCAAATTAAGTTTACAATCTTAACTCAAAATTAACCACCACAACTAAAAATTAGCAATACCAAATCTAAAAATAATCACCCTTATCCAACACTAACTTTTCCACTCTATGATCAACCTATCCTCTTAACAGAACGTCGCATTTTGACGTATACTCTACCTAAGGGCAAAAATTGTCGTACTAGAAAATAGTAGCGGCTCGTAAAATTGACATCCTGTACCGTTTTCTGTGTTGGGTCGTCTGGTAGGTTAGGATAAGGACACTTTAGTACGACAGTTTCTTGACGATGTGAAACCTTAGGAGGACGACTGCTATGAAACTGACAATATCCCTCGAAATGCGAAAGCCTAATCCAACACGTCCTGTCAACTGCAAATGTCACGTCATACTAATTAATATACAATATATTGTTAAGAACGCCATCAGGTTCTAATGTCATTCTCCATTAGTTCTCCATGGCATTCTCTATTAGTTAGAAAATAGTTCTCCACAAAACTTGTATGAAGACAGGAAGAGGATGTGTTGACCTGCGGGTGAGTTGTTCTTCACTGCATAAAACGCTAATTTTGACAGTTTGAGAACGCTGCGCCTCTTGTTTTAGACTAACCGTTGACTGAGGTTCCGGATCACACGGCGTGACTCTCTCTCCAAAGATTACGTGTGGCAGGGGGCCATCAACGGTTCGGGGGAAACGTCCTAGACCTTAATTTGGCAACCCGTCCTCATCAACAAAGGCCAAATGCTCCTTAATCCAACCTCAAACCCCTTGTTTATGAATGAAAAACACTTTAGACGCGACTCACAACTCAACCTGTCCTCAGGCCATGCTCGTTAAAACAGCGGCCGTTCTCCAAAACCCATTAATCAATTCTTACGTATTGTGCATTAAAAATAAGTGTTCTCATATATAAATTTTACATTATTATATATTAATGTTCTATGTATAGTTAGGCGTAGGCTAGGTTAGGTGTTTAGGGTCTGTTGGCGATTATTTGTATTTGTAATACGTCGGTGAAACATTTCAACCCGTCCTCGACTCAAGTTCATTACATCCAGCGGTCGACCCCACAGACGCATTCATAAATTTGTACATGCTGTTCATTCAAAACGGAAATTTTCTCAAATATAAATTAATATTATAATATATTAGCATATTGTGCATATATATTGGCATAGGTTAGGTGTTTAGGTTCTGTCGTAATTATTTGTATTTGTAGTACGTGGGTGAAGCATTTACAGCGTTGTGGTTTGAACAAAAGTCGTCAGCGAAGCACTTCTTCCGGAAGTATTTGAACGAAATCAGTTGTGAGTCGTGTGTAAACCTTTTTTCATTCATAAACAGGTGGCTTGGCGGGTGCATGGAATCACTTTTGGGTCTTTGTTTGGAGGACGGACTGAAACATTTACATCTATGCGATTCGAACAGAGGTTGTTAGCGAAGCCCTATACGAGAAATGTTCGAACGTCATCAGTTGTGAGTTGTGTGTAAACCGTTTTTCATTCATAAACAGGGTGATTTGCGCTGGATTAACGAGCATTTGGCCTTTGTTTATGCAGACGGGCTGCACAACTGATGTGTGAGCCCGTCCTCCAAACAAAGATCCAAAAGTGATTCCATGCACCCGCCAAACCCACTGTTTATGAATGAAAAGCGGTTTACACACGACTCACAACTGTTGACGTTCGAACATATCCGGAACAAGTGCTTCACTGACGAATTTTATTCGAATCACAAGGCTATAAATGCTTCACCCACGTACTACAAGTACAAATAATCGCCAACAGAACCTAAACACCTAACCTAACCTATCCTATGCCTATATATACACAATATGCTAATATATTATAATATTAATTTATAGTTGAGAAAATTCCCGTTTTGAATGAACAGCATGTTAAAATTTATGAATGCGTCTGTGGGGTAGACTGCTGAATGTAATGGACTTGAGTCGAGGACGGGTTGGATGTGTGTACTTTTCTCGAGCAGTACTTCGTTCATATCCTGTGTTCGAATCGCATCTCTATAAATGCTTCATCCACGTACTGGAACTCGTATGAATTATCATCAGAGTATGGATCGGCTTCGTGTCCATAGTTCAAGACTTGTCAAAAGAGAAGTAACACGCCGAATAGGTAGTCACCATGTCAGTGTTATAGTTCAGGTGGAAGGTCTTGCTACTCACAGGACCCGCCGGCCGCGGGGTTATACTTAAGAAGATACCCAATAATTAGGAGTGTGGGAACCCGCACCAACTTCCATGGTATCGAGCGGAATAGACTACAGAAGGTAAGTACTGGAAGGTTTGATTATGACGCTACATGAAGGACTCGAAACTCTTCGACTCGTTAGTAATAGGCTACTTTCTTTGTTAATTGCGTTGGTAATAAGTCTTGACCATTATTGTTGGTCTGGTCACTGGTTGCACTGTCACTTATAGGATGATGGAATCGCGCCTAGGTATACCTAGGTATTGTATAATACTGGTTTATATTATTATATTATACCTAGATATATTATTTATATCTATTGATATTATTATTTATATCTAATTGTTATTATTTATATTATACCTAGGATATTATGCTGGTTTGTGATATAGCGTTAACACCTGACGGTGGTAATAATAATAATGGTATATACTTGTGTAAACAAACTATTAACACTTGCTTTATGTCTAAGCATATTTTCCTGTTCCTCATCATGTTGGCTGGGTCCAGGCTTTAAATAGTATTGTGAGGGCTGCCCGAAGTGGGCGGTAAGAGTCATAACTTTTATATATATATATATTGTATAAACGCAAGGTATTTCACTGCGTTTACACGTGAACATCAATGGTATAGGAATCACGCCATCTCTAGGTTCTTCACCGCCTCTATATCAAGGCTTCTGACAGGTTGAAGACCAGACCACCGACCAGAAGACAGGGAGAGACCGGGCCGCGGTGACAATAAGCCTCCGAACCACCTCAAAGGTAGCTTTAACGTAAGGTATCGAAAATTTTATAATAAGGATTAATATCATTAAAAGTTTTCCACAACAATAAACATATGTTAATCGATCTACTGAATAAGATAAATCAATGTTTGTAGCTTTATCATTAATTTACTAGTGCAATACGGATTTTGAATCAGAATGCTGAACTATGAATCTAGCTTATTTCTCTTATTTACGTTTATGAGAACAACTCTCTTTATCAAGTGTTATCCATGTATGGAACGAACACCCCCCCCCCCCCCCTTCACCCAGCCACAGAAACCGGCCTTCTCCCTCGCTACAAGCACCCCCACCTTACCCCGCCACAAGCACCCCAACCTTACCCCCCCACAAGCACCCCAACCTTACCCCCCACAGCCTCCCCCCCCCCTCTCCAGCCGAGCTAGGTAACAGGATCCACTCACTAGTTTCATTAACAAAAACTCAAGCCTCATGAGGTGACGCTCGGGTACTTCCCCCTCTCCGCTAAGGCCTCTCTCATTACCACTCTCCTCCCTCCTTCAATATTATGAGAACGTGGGGAGGGGGTCCTTACCCCCCCCCCCCCCCCACCCCTACCCGGAATATTACTGCCTTTCACTCCTTAAAGGAGACAATAGGAAGATGGTGAAACACGCTTAACGTATTCAGGGCCGCCATTCCCAGTCAGTAGAGAGTTATGATTATCATCCCACTGACAGGCTACAGTGGGAGCTTTATGTGCTCTATAAGGCACTCTTTATCGTTCGCGGTTATTCCGTATAATTTCGAATTTATTAGGGAGCAAAATTGTTTTTGTATATGCCTAATGGTACACGGTGCACGTAAAATATTAGCGTCTACCCCCATATCCAGACTTCTCTTCATTTTGAGCGATATTACCCCAAAAAATACTGTGCCGCCTCCATAGCCAGTACTCTTCAAATCAACATTAATCAAAATTCCCCAAGATAAC